TCCAGTATGAACTCTCTGATGTTGTGCAAGGTTTGATTGTTGATTAAAAACCTTGCCACATTCATTACACTTGTAAGGTTTCTCTCCAGTATGAATTGCCTTATGAATTACAAGGGATGAATTTCGAGCAAAGGTCTTGCCACACTCATGACAGTTGTAAGGTTTCTCTCCAGTATGAAGTCTACGATGGCCTACAAGGGATGACTTCTGACTGAAGGTCTTGCCACACTCGTTACACTTATAAGGTTTCTCTCCAGTATGAAGTCGATAATGACATGCAAGGTGTGCTTTTTGATTAAAAACCTTACCACATTCATTACATGTGTAAGGTTTCTCTCCAGTATGAACTCTCTGATGTTGTGCAAGGTATGAATCACGCCGGAAAACCTTGCCACATTCATTGCATGTGTAAGGTTTCTCTTCAGTATGAACTCTGTTATGGCGTGAAAGGCATGAATTATGCCTAAAAGCTTTGTCACAAACCTTACATTTGTATGGTTTCTCTCCTGTATGAATTCGCCTATGTGTTTCAAGTTGTGATCTGCAACTGTAAACTTTGTCACATTCTTCACATTTGTAAGGTTTCTCTCCAGTATGACGTCTACGATGGCCCACAAGGGATGATGTCTGACTGAAGGTCTTACCACACTCATTACATTTGTAAGGTTTCTCTCCAGTATGAAGTCTATGATGGCGTGTAAGAGATGACTTGTGACCGAAGGTCTTGCAACACTCATTACACTTGTAAGGTTTTTCTCCAGTATGGACTCTATGGTGCCATGCAAGGTATTGCTTTTGATGAAAGACTTTGCCACATACATCACATTTATGTTGTTTCTCTCCTGAATGGGTTATGTGATGTCTCCTTAAATGTGAGCTATAATTAAAGGCTTTGCCACACTCATTACATCGGAAAGGTTTTTCTCTCATGTGTACTTCCTGTATTTGTGTGAATAATGAAGAACGGAGAAAATTCTTCCCATGCCTATTAGAAATATGGGTTTTAAGCCTACTGGAAATTCTTTGGGATGTTGAAACCAAGGAAGCATTGTTGATAGACTTCTCTACTTGATTATCAATTTTCCCTACAGTCTGAAATATGTGCAGTTCAGGCAGATGTGAATGAAAGCTTGATCCAAGCTGATCTTTAATAGGCTTGTTTCCAGCATGTCTTTGATTATGTCGGTCTGTACTACCTGTCAACTTTTTGATTTTTGTCATGGGTGCTTCATGGACCTTTCTTTTAATTTCTTGCCACTGAAACTCAAAGTCATGAATATCTTTCTTGATTTCTGGGAAGCAAAAATCTCCAATGTGATGACTTTCATGTCTTTCCAACATCCCAGTGTGGAACACTTCTGTATTGCCTTGCCCTGTTGATGAGTACTCCATCATGGTTTTAAAAGAGCTGTCTAAAAAATATAAAAACCAATAGGTTTCCAATTAAGTACATATGGTAAATAATGGTTAATATTGAAATGTGTTAATATTACACAAAAAGCAATACTTATTTTAAACTTTCCAAATATGATCTTCAAAGTTTAAGAACACCCTCTCTCTACTAAAAATACAAAAATTAGCCAGGTATGGTAGTGGGTGCCTGTAATCCCAGCTACTCAGGAGGCTGAAGCAGGAGAATTTCTTAAACCTGGGAAGCAGAGGTTGTAGTGAGCAGAGATCACATCATTGCACTCCAGCCTGGGTAACAAGAGCAAAATTCCACGTCAAACAAAAACAGTTCAGTCAAGAGCCTCATATATATGAGGCAGTAAGCCTGAATCATGTCCTCCCTAGGAGGAACTTCTACAGCAGTGACTGCTGCTTAGAGAAGCTGATCATTAGTTTATGTGATGATCACTGTCACAGTGCCAGGGAGAGATGCTTCTGTGATGCTCCTTTAAAACCAGAATGAAACACCAAGCATGGTGGCTCAGGTTTGTAATCCCAACACTTGGCTGGAGGCTGAGGTGGGCAGATTGCTTGAGACCAGAAATTTGAGACCAGCCTGGTCAACATGGTGATACCCCATCTCTAACAAAAATACAAAAATTCGCAAGGTATCGTGGCTTGCATCTGTAATTCCAGTTAGGTTGGGAGACTGAGGTATGAGAATTGCTTGAATGCAGGAGGTGGAGGTTGTCATGAGCTGAGATCACAACAGTGCACTACAGCCTGAGCAACAGAGGGAGACTCTGTCTCAAAAAAAAACAAAACAAAACAAAACCAGAACCACAGCTGGAAACACTTGTCAATCAGTGTCAGTGTCATGCTTTCAATCTCGTATCCTGGGCCATGCTGACAATTCTGCTCAGGGCTTCCAGGGACATCTCTGCCTAGAGCAGGATGATATTCAATTGTATTAGTCAGACTGTTAATAAGTGTTCTGGGCCGGGAGCGGTGGCTCAAGCCTGTAATTCCAGCACTTTGGGAGGCCGAGACGGGTGGATCACGAGATCAGGAGATCGAGACCATCCTGGCTAACATGGTGAAACCCCGTCTCTACTAAAAAAATACAAAAAAACTAGCCGGG